ACCCCCCCCCCCCCCCCCCCCCCCCCCATTCTCCAACCTTCTCGCTCATGCTCAATTTTCTCCTGATGATTCTCCTATTTTAGTTCACACTCCTGTAAGGAATTGGTTACCCCTCACCAAAGTATCGAGTCCCCTCGCTTTAGTTAAGGGGAAAATTTTTGGCAGTGGAGAGAATGAAAATGAGGTGCATGAATGAAGACCTGAAAAATAATCTTGAATTTTCTTTTCTAAAGCAATTACTCTCCAACTTGGACCGAAAAAAATCCCACAAAATATTAGGACTATATTCAAAGCCAACATTTTCGGGTAGCATTCTATCTAGGGGTAGTTGGCTATCTAGGTACGATTCCCTAAATTTTTACGAGAAAGGAAAAAATTACAAAATTTAAGACTATCATTCAAAGGATATTTTTCGGACAGAATTCCCCGCTATTTAGGTACCATTCCCTAAGTTTTTTCGGGGAAAGGAAAAAGCCACAAAATGCTAGGACTATTATAGAAGGCCAACTTTTTCGGATAGCATTCCCCACTATTTAAATACCCTTCCCTGATTTTTTCGGCTTTTTTTTAAAGAATCATCTTCCTTGAAGTGGACAATAATCGGAAACTTTCGAACAGCTGAGAGAAGAGAACCTACATTTAAAGCAAACAATAAAAACAAATTGGAATGCTGCGGCATCGGGAATTCAAAGGCGAAAAAATGAAGGATTGAAAAATGGCGAAATGGGCTGCATCCAAAGTGCACATGAAAAAAGTACCACAAGAAAGCTACTCAAGCGGAATACGTAATAAAATATTACAACATGTACAGCTGAAAATCGCAAAAGAGCGATATTTTTTGATAAAAGTGGGAAAAATTTACATGATATTTGATATAATATATTGGGATACTGTGATTCTATTCAAGTCCAACAGCAGTGGGGGCGGGGAAAGATGAGGGTCGGGGAGAGAGGGGAGGGGAAAGGGGGAGAGGAAGGCCGATGGGAGGAAAGGGGCAGCGGGGAGGGAAAAGGGGAAAGAAAGAAGAGGTAGGGCAGATATGGGATAGGGAGAGGGAAAAATCCTAAGGATATTTTGTTCACAATAATTACATCAGTTCTTTTTACAATCGTGGTACTGAGCATCACAATTATGATCAATTCGCTGAAACAGTCATGATGCTTGCTTCGCTGAAAAAAAGGCCAATTTCGGTGACGAGGGAAGGTACAGCACAAAATTGAACACTTCAAAAGTTTCGGAAGAAAAAATGAATGCGCAGATGTTCGAAAAAAAAAATAAATACTGAAGCATTACTTCTGCCAAAAAATGTTCGAAATCTCGCAACCCCGGTCAGGCAAGATGCAGGACGCATCAACGCTCAAAATACATGGGCTGGGAGCAGCCCCCTTCAAACCTCAACCCCCGGCTTTTCCGGATTCCAAGTTAGCGATTTCCCCGTCAGGAACCCTCACGCGGCAGTAAGCGAAAATCGCGCATACCTCGGAGCTGAATTTGAAATCTTTGAGTTCTACATGAAAGTAAAGGCCAAAAAGTTGAAACTAGCTCTGTATTCATTATCTCTGAGATCTGGAAATTAGCCCAGTTGGTAGCAACTGCCGGTAACAATTACCCGCTGGTAAGAGGCTACCGACTTTTTTGCCCCACGAGGGATTTTTTTTGTCCCTTGAGGGTTGTTTATAAGGAAGTTCATAGCGAGTATAGTTCCCTCACATTTGCCAGTACCAATTTACCATCGAATAAGTGATTAATGAATCACAGAGGGATCGGTTGTCCCGCTTTTTTGCCCCAACCTTTTCAGCAACAGCAGCGGTAATTCCCACTTCGCTATGCCTGCCAGTGTCCAAACATGGACCGAAACATTTCTTACCTACTTTAACACTTCTCATTTTTTCCATACTTCCTTTCTTACTTTTTACATCATCCTCCCTTATATTTTTTCTTCATCATTCTTACTTTTTTCTTTTAACCTTAAATAAAACTTAACGCGCACAACCCAGTTGTATTTTGGTCGAAAATTACATTAGCTTCGTATTTTGGTAGAAAATGTGCATAAGTTGAAAAGAAAAAGTGAAAAATCACATAAATCACGTCGTAAAAATAACTGCTCTATATTTTTTACAGATTTTTTTAAAGTGAATATTGTTGTTATTAAAAGCCCACAGTGAAATTATGCTGGCAAATATGAAAGACAGAACTGCCCAGTACCACTAGGCGCTGTTTGATAATATCATCAGGGACAGCATTTTTTCAAAGTATCAAGCGTAAAGCAGACAAATTTTTGAAGAAATATAGAAATAATACAGACCGATTTTTCATGTATTTGGAGCAGCAGGGGAAGGTGATAATACACGTTCATTTTAAGTTGTAAAATTAAAGCCCCATGCAAATTTCACGATGATGAGAGGAACAGCTTAAACCTACTAAACTCGCAGATCGCTATTAGCAAGAATGATCCCTACGCTGTAGTATAACAATTGGGCTCATATTGGCTGTGCTTTGCCCCCTTCCGGCCAGCAGGAGGAAGGCAATCTTACATCTCAGCATCAATCTGTGCGTGAAAGTCTAGATCTAATTTTTTTTTTTAAGAATTTCTAAATTTATTGTTTTGGGCACCCTTCACGAAAACTGCGATTATCGGACAATCCCTGTCATTTCCAAGGGCGTAAAAGAGGATCACTAAGCGAGTCGGTGAGTGGGGCCAATACGGGGGAAGAGGGGAAGAGGAACGGTGGAGAGGGAGAGGAGGAAGAAGCAGTATATATATAGTTCTTTATTAAGCCGCGTCAGTTGCTTTCAATTACTAACCAGTTATCAATCGTTTTTCATTAGCTAACCCGTTTAATTCTTATTTCGCTAGTAACTATACGTCCTTTATATTCATATAATTTTCTTCATAATTTTGTGTAAAAGGAGAATTTTCGCACAAAAAACCGTTACTTTCCTGGCAATGTCCAGCACAAACAGTGTTCACACTGACCCACCGAATTTACACACCGCACAAAAAGTCCTACCGGGCAGAAAATGTAGACACCGCTGATGATGCAACACTACAATAAGATAACGCACAAAAAACTGCAAAAAAAAAATTAAATAATTTAGC